CGATTAAACTGTCCGCTGCTTTTCTTCAGCAGCGAGGTGCTGTCTGAGCCCCTAAAGGTGACAACCTTGCAAGGCACATCCTCACCCCCACATCACTGAGGAGGAGGCCACCAGGATGCCTCCTGCCTCTGGCCAGGGCCGGGCCAAGTTTTGAACCTAGAATGGGCTGTCCTCAACACCTGTTCTCACTATTCCGCCTTCCTGCGAGACAGCATCTGATCCTAAGCAGGCTTTCTGTTCTGAGCAGGCTGTGCTCGCCTCACCTTAGGCGCCAGTTTCTTGTAACCCCGGAGCTCCAGGGCCCTCCAGGTCTTTGTGGCCAAGCTCCCCCATTCAGAGGCACCAGCCCCTCCCACTGTGGGGGCTCCTCAGGCTCTAGGACACTTCCAGACACAGGGCCACAGTACAGGGGCTGCCCGGTGGGTTGTCAAAGGCCCCTTGTTGTATGGGGCTAAGTCAGTTTCAGCAGCTGCTCGTCACTGGGCCTGCTTGGGGGCTCAGAGCTGTGGGGACTCTTGAGGCTTCCGTCCCCAGGCAATGCTGAGACTGCAGCCTCTGGGCATTGCTTCCCTGCTCAGGTGGGCTGGGGGCTGTGCCAACAGCAGTGCCTGGGGCTGGGGCAGATGAGGGGGAGGCGCTGCTCTCAGCAGGCAGTCAGTAAATGTTTCACAGTTGACTGGCTTCACCCAACTTAGGATCTCTCAGGGATACTCCCCAGGACTCCCTCCCTGCTGGGGGTGGCAGCCACTCCCAGCCATGCGCTCTGGAGGCCTGGTCCTTATAACTGGAGTGAGTGAGGTAGAGCCCTGGGGTGGTGGCAGAGCTATTGTCAGGGGACCAAGCTTCACTTGGCTCAACAGGTTCCCATTGTGGTCCGCAGGCGGGGACAGTGTGGTTGACTGAGCAAGCCCTGGGTTCTGGCTTTCCCCCAGGTATTTAATACTGTCATCACCCTTGGGTCTCATGACAGCCCTGCAATAGATTATTCTCTCCATTTTTCCAGTTACAGAAACAGGCTCAACAAAACCAGATAACTTCCTCAGTCTCCCAGCTGGAACTCTGTGGGAGCAGAGAGCCTTGGGCTGCGTTAAATGTTGTAAATGCCCAGTGCGCATTGTACCTTTACCTGGGATTAACCCATGCCTTTGAATAGGAACCACGGCTGTTCTGTTAACTCACACGTCCCGGCATCCTGAACACAGGGATTCTTCACCGCATAAAACTGCACATTCAAATTAACTGCTATGCAAGAAATGCAGTTTGACTGGGGCTCTTTCCAGCCATGGCAAAAATTGGAGAAAATATGATCAATAGTTTTTGGTGCTAAAAACGCAACAGATGATCCAATTGCACCCATTCTCCCAGTTTACAGATGAGGAGACTGATGTCCAGAAAGTGACTCAGCCAGGATCACAGGATGTCGGTGTCAGGGAGACCCACCCACGTCTCCATGCCGCATGTTTGTCTAGAGCTTGTGAGGGTTTAGGGGAGTGATCATGCTCTCATTCAGGGTGACGGATCCATTAGAGCACCCAGCATTTAGTGAGGACCTACTGTATTTCAGGGCTGTTCCTACACATTTTCTCATTTAAAACTCAGAGTGATTTTCTAAGACATGAGTGTCTAATAGTAGAGCCAGAGTGTATTGACGCTGGCAGACAGGCAGACACTGTGCAGGGCCATTGCCTGTCCAGGCCTGATCATGACTGACTGTTCTTTTTTTTCTTTTCTTTTTTCCTTCCTTCCTTCCTTCCTTCCTTCCTTC